AGTGCTGGTCAAGAAAAAAGTTGGAGCTTTGGCAGAAAATAGGGCGGTGACCAGAGTGCGAATTCTTGGCGTGCAGCTGTGGCTAGTGACTGACACGTGCAGGGGTGGTAAAGTGTGGCTGTAGTGGCGTCTCTAGCGCGTCACGTCGCGTGTCCTGTAAGTGTCTTTTGGTCATCGTTAATGATTGCGGTTGTATGCATTCACTTTACGACGTTTACGCACGCAATCCATATTTCAGCCCGATTTGTTGTTTCTATAGACCTGCCCCGATGTTACGAATGCTCTGGTAGTCTCTGAACGTGTATATGGCCCTTTCCGCAGTACAACCTGCAATGAATCTGGAGGCAAAGACCGTACATCCATTTTTTTCTAAACCCCCCAGTATGTTCCTGGCTAGATGGTGGACAATCAGATGCTTACGCTTCGCATAGACGGTCAGATACCAGATTCTTCACAACCCAAGAATAATGCCTCAGCAAACAATGTCCACGACGTCCCCGAATCCACAGATACAGACTCCAAGCCTAGTAAAGGCCGTAAGAAGAGGGCGTCAACCAATGATGGAGGGAAAGAGAAAACCTTTGTATCTCACTTAAAGAACCAGGCATCTCTGGACCGCTTCACTCGGCCTCCACCGACACAAACAATAATTCGGGATATTGTGGATGGCACAAGCGACTCTGTCGAAATTTCCTTGGAGGTAGATCCCAACCACGATCGAAGGAAAAGGCAGAAGACGCAATCTCCAGAGCCCTTGCTCGATTCATCGGCCTTGGCAAAACTTGAATCGCCTTCCCTGGACTGGCACCAACAATTACAAGTACAGGTCGATGGGCCAGCGGACTTGGATTCACCACCAAACACCCATGTGCACACCGACGTGACCATGACCGGTGCACCAGAAGTGATTGAATATGGCCAGAAGGAACACTCAGACACATCTACCACGCCTAGTACGCCGTCACTGACAGCTTACCCGGAGCCAGTCGCTGTTCCGTCTGAATCCCTACTTGAAGAGCCAAAGAATGTGACACCAAAGAAGCAGATCAAAATCACCAAAAGCGGTCGACTTGTCTCCAGCCCACCAAAATCAACAGTAGATCCGACATCACCTCCAAAGAAGAGAAGAGGCCGGAAGCCTAAGCATGCTAAAGTCCTTCCTACAGTGACGGTTATCAAATACGGCACAGACCCAGCGAGCCGATCTGCCATTGGCCAAAAGATCGAAGAGATCTTGAGTGCAAAGAGGAAATCGACTAAACGCGAAGCATCTCAGAAGAACGCACAGCCGAAACCAGCTGCTCCGTCGAAAGTAACGCACCCTTTTTTTCTTGGCAAGGCCCAAAAGGACTCCCCTCCAGTCAAGGTCATCACAGAGCTGCCCGCCGTGACCCCCAGGAAAAGCGCGGTCACTCCGGGAAAGTTGCGTGCCGAGACTCGTAGAGACGAATCACCAGAGCCCACTTCGTTCTATAATAGGGGACTACACACAAGCAAAGCTGGCAAGCAATCCGGTCTCAATGAGCCCTCATGGCCGACTAGCGAGAATGTGCATGTTCGCAATATGGAACCAACAAACTTGCCAGTGCGCCTGGATAACTCCAACTCTGTGCAACTAGCATTGAGACCACGAAAGATGAAGAACGCTGTTGTAACCCTTCCAGAACATGAAGATATGATTGCAAGACTTGCACACGATCTTTCCAAGGATCAAAGCCGGACAAACAAAAACCGTACGACCGAGTTTGCACCTCCTCAAGATGTCCGACTCCCAACACGTCTACTCACCACCGGTTCCAATATCAAGCGTAGAGTACATGAGCAGCTGCTGGCTAGATCACCCTCCCTAGCTACTGCGGGGCAATCACAATCATTCCACACAGCCGTTGTAGATCTCCTCAGAGAAATTGAGTACAATCTCACGCCCTTTGATCAGGGGAAGTGCGAGGTCCAATCTTGGGCCCAAAAGTATGCCCCAAAATCTTCTGCTCATGTGCTACAGACAGGAACAGATGCAGTAGTCCTCAAAGATTGGTTGCAAAGTCTGACAGTCATGACTGTGAGCGGTGCATCGAAAACCACTGCTACAGTAGATGTGAAACAACCACCCCGGAAAAAACGCAAGAAGGCCTTTGACGACTTTATTGTACCAGACGATGAAGAAGAGGAGGAGGAAGACATGGTGATGCTGCCCCATGTAGAGGGAAGAAGCTACATGGAGCCAAGCTCTTTCAGACGGCCACAGTGGACGCGCAATAAGAACGTCATACTCATCAGCGGGCCTCACGGGTGTGGCAAAAGTGCAACCGTTCACGCAGTGGCTAAAGAGATGGGATTTGAAGTTTTCGAGATCCATGCCGGAATGCGCCGCTCAGGCAAAGATATCCAAGACAAAGTTGGCGACATGACTGGAAACCATCTAGTGAACCACAAACGCAACGCAGCATCGATTCAAGAACCTTCCCAGACCGTAGAGAATACAGAAGAAGATCATGTAGACGCGCTTGAAAAAGACATCAGCAGTGGGCGGCAAGGGACCATGACATCTTTCTTTCAAACAAAGCCCAAAGCAATAGTTCCAAAAATAAAGGCACAACCACGACCGCAGGAAGTCAAGAAAGTAGCACCATCACCGGCCCAAGCTACTCTTCCACTCACACAAACGTCACGTAAATCTCAGAAGCAATCTTTGATTCTTATTGAGGAAGCCGACATCCTATTCGACGAGGACCAGCAGTTCTGGACGCAGATCACAAAGATTGCATCGCTTTCCAAACGTCCCATTATTATCACTTGTAACGATGAGAGACAAATACCAATGCACGACTTGCCACTTGCTGCTGTCTTACGACTTCAGTCTCCGCCTGTGGAGCTCGCCGCTGACTACCTACTTGTTCTGGCTGGTAGAGAAGGACACGTTCTTGCGCGACAAGCTGTGAAGGAGCTTTACCAATCCAAGGGTTGTGATCTCCGAGCTAGTATTATGGAGCTTGACTTTTGGTGTCAGATATCTGTTGGAGATCGAAAGGGTGGCTTGGAATGGACTTATCAACGTTGGCCACCAGGCAAAGACGTTGACGAACATGGCCAAACACTTAGAGTTGCTAGTGAGGGCACATATCAATCCGGTATGGGTTGGCTCTCGCACAATGTCTTTGAAGCCCCCACCAATACCGCCTTCGACAAGGAAGAGGAACTACTGCAAGAAGTCTGGACGGATTGGGGCATCAGCCCTTCAGACTGGGGAACCCCAATGACGAGCAACCAACAGACGCTCAACGTGCAGAACACAGAGCCATCCCACCGCATGCAAGCTCTCGACAGTCTAGATGCATACACCGAGTCCCTCAGCGCAGCAGACATCTTCTGTCGCGTAGACCTCCCCTCATACAGCACCTCCCACACCCAACCCACCGACGCCTCCCAACCCCCCATTCCCGAAAAATCCCGTCAAAACTACACCCTTGCAGCCCCTCTCCTCCAAATCGACCACACAACCGACTTCCTCCACCTCTCCACCTCCCTCACCATCCAAACCCACCTCCTCATCCACCGCGCCTACCCAACCATCTCCCAAACCCGCACCACCCCCTCCCCAGCCCCAACCTCGGAGCCCGCCTATGCCAAAGCCATCCTACGCCACGAACAACTCAAAGCCTCGAAACAACACCTCACACGCTCAGACTTTGCCGCCGCACTCGACTGCCTCGCCGCGCCCCCTGACCAACTCCTCCCAGAACGCACCTCGTTTACCCTCACCCCTTCATCTTTCGACCGAAACTTCAGTATCATAACGCTGGATCTTGCCCCGTACGTTCGCAGCATCGTCGCGCATGAGCAGAGTCTCGAGCAGATGCGCGCGCGAATGTCCGATGTACTCGGCCCCGCTACCACCAGCACAAGTGCTGCTGGATTGGGCCCAGCGCGCAAGGCGCGGACCACGCGGGCGAGTCGCGTTGCGCTGGAGGGAGGGGTGCGCGAGAGCAAGAGGCGGGACAGGTGGTTCGAGGCGCTTGGGGAGTTTGATGGCGTGATGCGGACGGCGGGGCGGGCGTGGGCAGGGATGGGATGGAGGGGCGAGGCGAAGGATGACGTCCTTAGTTTGGTGGGTTCGGAGAGGGATGGCGAGTTTGAGGTTGATGAGGATTATGTCATGAGTGGGTGAACATTTTTTTTCACAAATACATGTCATGTATATTGGTTGGGTTGGAAGGCGGGTTGATACTTTGCGGATTTAGGCTTGATAGTGTAGATACATATAAGATCATGTAGATAGAAAATCCATCAATGACATAAGTATGCAACAGGGGATTCAGCGCACGGGGCAGATGTATTTTGAAAGCATCGAATATTCATTTCAAACGTATCAAGAGAACGAAAAAAAAAACTCCCGTGAGCTTTCTTGTAAACACTGCATGTGTACCCATGCGCCCAGAAGAAGAAGAATCAGAGATAAACAGTAAAAAGAAAAAAAACAGACTGCCACCCAACCTGACCCTAAGGGGCAAACAGGTACCTAAACGCCTATACTGATTTCCCATCATTTCCACCCTATCTTTTACAATCTCTCCATCCCCCCCCTCGTCCCCCATAGATCCCAACCACAAACATCAACATATGCAAACCTCCCCTTCCCTCCCCCCCCCTTACTCTTCCTTCCACGCATCTCCCTACCGTACAAACTCGAGTTTGATACGCTTAGCGCCACGAGCAAACTATGTCGCAGAAACGAGCGGCAAACTCTGTCTCTTACGCTGCTGACCCCTATTCGATGCATTTCCCGCTGTACGCATCAAGTTTGGAGAGATTTTAGCAGAAGAAGAAGAAACAGGCAGAGACTTGAGTGGGGGTGTGGGGACATCAGCGTCGGCTTCGGATTCGTAGTCCGAAGTGAGCTGGGTAGAAGGGGCGTCTTCGGAGTCTGCGTCGCTGGCTTCCGTTTCGGGGTCGAGGTGGGGCGGTGATAATGTTGGTTTTGTTGGGGTGGTTGTGGCGACACTGGATGGGGAGCAAGGTGTCTCGTCTGTTGGTGCTTGTGTGGTGGGTATGGAGAGTTGAGGCGGTTGCGGTTTGGTGGCTAACTTGATCGAGAGAAGATCGTCGTCGTCGTCGCTTGGGAGAGCAATGGTAGTAGCTTCTACGTTTGGAGAGGCTTGTGCGTATGCTGCCACATCGACTGGTGGTAAGGGAGCATCTTCTGCAACTGTGACGTTGTCTGTGGCGGAATGAGATGGTACGGGCGTTGATTCATCAATGCGTTCGTAGAAGAGCATGAAGACATTTCCTTGATGAGCCTCTTCTTCAGAGACAGGGTAGACACTGTCATCACTGAAGCGCCACCACTGTTCCGACGGGGATGTGACAGCTTCTTCCTGTGTCTCTTCCTGTTCCTTTTCATCCTCGATATCCTTGCCATCTGTCGATGAGGCATCAGCCTCCTCATTATCGCTCGGCTTGGAGACAGTCTTTGGGTGTGACCGGTAGCACACATAATGTCCGTTACCATGTGACCCGTAGTGTGTGACAGCAGCCCGCAACCGGTATTGGAAAGGGGAATCGAACATGGGCTTGCCCCTTGGTAGCATGGATTCCCTAGGATCTTTTGGCCACTCTTCTTCAGACATGGCAGGCTTTTCAGAGCCAGCCGGAGCACCGCCCAGGCACCAATTGCCCAGGTCCAGGACACTCGGGTATGAGACACCAGCAGTATTCTTGAACGGCATACCAGTGTACTCATTGAAACTACTACGGTTGACATGAAGTACCAATGCCTGGGGTGCTCGCGCGACAACTGCCTGTTTCGATTTAGTACTCTGTACCCAGTTCTTCTTGGGCACATTCAGAGTCTTTAGGAGCGTTTTATCTTCAAAGTCCTCCTTTTCCAAAGCCTCCTGCACAGCGTCGAGTCTGGCCTTCAATGGCGATTCGGGCTTTTTAGAAACAAGAGGAGTTAGGGTCTTCTGTAGTTTAAGTAATGTGCACTTTGCGCACTCGACACCGTCGATGAACTCCAAGTTCGTATATTCGTCAAGACATTCGCGAATGTCGTAGCCGTGATTCTTTCCCAGGGAAACGGTGATGCAGTTGAACGGGATAAGTGTGAGACCTTCCGAGTAGCCGCAGGATGTACAGCCGACGCGTTGTGCGAGGCGGCCCTCAAGAGGGTTTGCTGGGGCCTGTACGGCTGGCTTCTCTGAATCACCTTTCTCTCCTTCTTGCGTCTTTTCATCTGCGTTTGGTGAGTCACTGAGAATCTTTGTGACTTCCAGCCAGGAGACCGAGGATCGCCTCTTACTGCTCGCGGTCTTCTTGACCTCTTCATCTAGCGCATCCAATATCTTGCTATAATACTCCTGTGCATCTTGCTGCTCAAAGGTACTCATCGACTTGAGCTTGCCGCGTATCCAAAAATGCTGCCCCTTGTTCTCTGGGTCGTTGAGCTTTGTTATTATCTCGAACAGCGCGCCGTTGGTGCTTTCAGGCGAGAGCGAAGGATGCTCGGATGTGGTTTTGGCGAGATGGTCGCGCAGCGAAGGAAGCGAGGCAAGGCCTTGGATGACGCTGTTCTGGTAGCAAGAGTTGCTGATGTTTCCCAAGCCAGGCGGAACATCACCGGAACCCATGGAAAGAGCGCTCGCGACGCCTCTGACGCCCTTTGAGAGCAGGTTGCCGGGACTCATTCCAAAGAGGCTACCAAACATGCCTCCACTCTGCGCCGCAGCATCGTCGGATTCCGATCCAGACGCGGAGCCGATCGAAGACGCACGTGAGCGCAAAACGTTGGTCGCCATCCTGAGAAACCGGCGTACGTAGAAACCGATGGGAAAGCCGAGATAGTCGAGAGCTCTGAGGAGAAAGTATGCACCTATGATAGTGCCCAGGAAAAGGGAAGTGGGAGTGGAATGCGAGTCGGATGTGTTCCAGCGCTGTTGATAGGCGTCAAGTTCGGGGTATTCGCCGTAGCTCATAGCTCGTAGGGGGCTGTTGTAAAAAAAGATAAAGCTGAAACGTGCAGGAGACCACGACGCTGTTTTTTGTGTTGGAAGGAAAAAAAAGCGGGTGGGCGAACGGGAGCGAAGGTTGGTGAATGATGATAAATCAGTGAAGGCGCAAAGTGGGAAAGGGTTCCAGTCTTTCAGCCCTCGGGCCAGCGCATGGACGGTGTCGAACAGAGCAAACGCGGTGGTGTGTTTGTCTGCGACATGGGAGAGACGAGCGTACGCGGACGACGGTCGAAGGGCGATGGGCGACTGCGGTGGGTGGCGGAGGGTTGGCGTGAATGTTCGTAGGGCAAGGGCTTTGCGGCTACTGAAGAAGGTGCGGACATGCAACTAGCGGCCGAAGTGGATCCGGAATTTCGGTCCTTGACGAGCTAGTGGGGGAACTTTTGTAGATTTGCGACTCCCGATTCCACGACATATCAAAACACACACACCTTGTAGACCTTTTTTTTGTGTGGAACTCGAAAAAAAAGATATCTTTTTTTTTTCGACCATATAGACCAGATAGGTCGAGTACTTTTTGAAACAAGAAAGAAAAAGAAGATTACCACATCAAACAACTCCCGCGCAATCACCGCAACAAAAAAAGCCAATATACACAATGGCCAAAACAGCAAAAGTCAAGAAGCGCCGTTTGTCCTCCCCCAACATACCCATATAAACCTCTACCCCCTCCCCAAAACACCCACTAAATTTCTCAAACAACAGAAGTCACCATCCACTCGCGCGCCGCGCGCCGCGCCGCCTCGCCCTCCCTCGACCTGCCCAAATCCGCCCAAAAGCCGGCACACACAACACGGGACTCAGCCTCGCCATCGCGACCATCCTCCATCAACCCGCACGCGCTCGCCGCCAAAGACGCAGGCATCCAGAAGCGCCAGAAAAAAGGCACAAACATGACGCGCGCGCAGCGGCTTCGCCACCAAAAGGGCCTTGAGCGTGCGGAAGAGAATATGGATAAGTTGGCGAATAAGCGGCTCAAGAGCCTGGGCAAGGGCAGGAAGGTGACGGAGAGGGCAAAGGGGTGGGAGGATATTAATGGGGAGGGGGTTAAGAAGGTGAAGAAGGGGGGGATGTTGGCGGATGGGGAGGGTGTGGAATTGAAGAGAGGGGACAGGGAGTGGGGAGGCGATGAGGATATGGATGAGGCGAGTGAGGCCAAGGAGGTGGGTGCTACGGTAGCGCAGAGTGTAGCTGTGCCAGAAGAGGTGGATGAGATGTTGTAAGCGCTGTTTTTTTTTGGGGAGGGGGGAGGAAGTCGACGTCATGATAAACCAAAAGCACGATACCCAGAAGAAATGAATCAATGTGTTGCTCTTTTTTTTCTCTCTCTTCTAATTCTTCACATGCGCACTGTACAACCGCATTTTCGTTTTCAAGGAAATTAACTAGCTCCTATTCAAACATACCCTACACACAGGATATCAAGTGCAGTTATTCAAATTATTGTACAAACCCCCCAGCCTTTTTTTTACACACACACACACAAGCAAACAAAAAACCTACCCTCTCCCAATTGAAACATAATAACCCTTTACCTCGCCCGTCTCCCCCACCCATTCTCAAACCGATTATCCGCCTCGACGGCGGCAGTAATTTGATTCTTGTACGAATGATACAACTCGCGAATCTGGCCCTTTTCCTCCATACGCTTTACAATCTTGTGTGCAGCCTTTGCTCTCTTGCGGTCACTCCAGCCTTCTCTCTTTACTAGTTTCTTCTCGGTGAAATGGCCCTCTGCTTTTAAGTAATCTTTGACCCACTGGTAGAGATGGTAGCGCCAATGATACAAAGTGTGTGCGACCTGGGCGTTGGCTTTGCAGGTTGAGCCGACGGGGAAGCGGTGGGACTCTGGGGGTATGCGCTCTTTTTGGTAGTTGTAGGTTGGCTTTTCGCCGTTGGGGAGGGTTTCCGAGTCCGTGGAGAGGGCAGAGGAGGAGGAGGAGCTGTCGGAATCGGAGTCGGAGTCAGAATCTGAGTCTGAATCGGTAGAGATGGGTTCGAGGGTGTCTGGGTTGTACGGGTTGCCTTGGAAGAGGAGCTCAGAGCTTGCGGTGTGGTTGGTGCGGTTGCAGGCTTCGCAGTGGGGAGACATTACGGCTCTTTCGCTGGCACTAAGGTCGGTAATTATCAGGTCTGGTCGTGCGCGGATAGCGCGGGTAAAGTCAGTAGTCCAGGCTGCTGATGTGTATTTTGATCCCGCGAGGCCTTTGACTTCGTCGTCGAGTTTTCGGAAAGTCACTGTATAGATATTTTTGGTTGCCTCGAAACTAGGGTGAATCTTTTTCATAACCATCCACTCGACAGCATGTCTAAACAAGTCCTTTGTCTTTGCTCGGGAGAGGCTTAAGGTCAGCCGCAGCTCGTCCAAGTCGTCATTTGCTGCGGGTTCTCCGATAACATTTTCTGTATCGTCGATAAATTGCTCATCATCTTGATCTTCTTGAAACATGTCAAAGGCGTTGGTCTCTTTCTCATCTTCGCTGTCGTCCTGATCCGAAGCCTCTACATCGTTATCCTCTTCCTTGATAAACTCGAGTTCTGAATCGGAGTCAGACTCAGAATCTATGACAACTGTTTTTCGCCGCACAGGTGTTCCTGAAGACGAAGCCTCGTTCGCACCAGCCCTTCGTCTCTTCAGAGCTTCCAGAGCTTCTTGTCGCTTGTTCTTTAGCGTTGTGCTTGTTGACCTGCGACTGTCTGCAGCTGGAGATGATCGTAAGAATGCAAGGTCTTCTTTGAGTTCTTCTTGCTCTTCGTTATCCATCGTATCATCAGCACCATCCGAGTCTTCCGCATCTGATGCAGAGTCTTTGTTGGCCCTGTCTATCTCATCTTCGTCTTCATCTTCATCGTCAGATGCGGGTCTCCGTCTTTTAAGCTTGCGCCTGACACTACGAGGCGGGGTATGCTCCTCTTCTTCCTCTTCTTCCTCCTTGTCTGGCGTAGAAGCCTTTCTAGCGACCCCTCTTTGAGTGCTGCATAGCGTAGGTTTTGACTTGGCTTGCTCCTTCTTTTTCTTTCTCTTCTTGTCTTCTTCTGAGCTCTCGATTTCGACTTTGATAGCGTGCCGCTGACGTTTGCGTAGTATTACTACAACAGTTGCCTCGCCTTCAGACTCGCTTAGTGTTGTCTCGCGTCGCCGCTTTTTGGACTTTAACTTGGGCTGCTTCTTAACTTGCTGTTCCTCTTCTGAGCTTGAAAGGCCATTTGAGTGATTGTTTCGATCATTGAACATGCCTATGCGCAAGCCTCTCTCTGTCTCTTGTGCCAACTCGTCTTCGCTCGTTGAGTCCTGATATGCCTTCTTTGACGCCCGACTGGTGCTGCCTTTGGTCGGCTTTTGTGGCTTCTGGGATGTGCTAGCCATGGGTGTAGCGGAGGACCTAGTCGCACGCGATGTCTGGGAAGCAGGCGAGAAATTGATCTTGGTCTGCCGCTTGTGATCCCGAGCTTTTTTGCGCGCCATCTTGGACTGATCCTCTTAAATTTACTTTGCTGCTTATTTCTTATCGTTGACTCGCAGATTCTGCTATGCGCGTCGCTGTCGCGTTGAGTGTGCGCGTTGCGCAAACAGTGCTAGAGTGCTAGAGTGCTGAAAACTTTGTGGCTTTCTTCGAAATATATGCAGCTTGTGTACATTTAGATGCATATATTCGGCTGCTTTAGATAGCAATTAGATGTGCAAGGAGGCACAGTGCAATTCTTCGATGAGTGGGGCGAATGTAGAAAGATTGCAAGGGTCCAGCGAGGCGCGCGAGCACGTGCGGCAGCGTCATCATCCACAAACACTCGGTCACGTCTTATCTCACTAGTCAGACGATCTGCTAGAGCCACGTGACAATCCAAGCACGTGATAGCTTACGAGTAGCTGGCACGTGCTTATGCTATCACGTGCTTATGCTATCACGTGCTTATGCTATCACGTGCTTGAGTTATCACGTGGATACGGCGCAGCGTCTGACTAGTGAGATAAGTCACGTCATCTTTCTCAAAGACCATCATCTTCGCTGTTGCAACTATTTTCCTGTGGATGTATGTCATAGTTGTTGTTTGAGATCTCGATTATTAACAGAAAAGAGAGACGGGTTGGCACTAGAGCTATGCGCATTCTGCGTTGTTGCAAGTGCAAGCATCTAATATCTAGATGGGCCTTTGTCGTGTGCTGCTTTTTGTCTATCTGCACGGTGCAAATAGTCTGCGTGAGATGTCCTAAACGATGAATGCCAATATCAACTAAGAACTCACAGTAGTTAGAAGATGTTGCGGCAAGACAAATGGTGCCATTCTAGAATGCGTCAAGGTCTAAAATTGGTCGCATTAAATGGTGCTGAAAGGTGAGGCTTGACAGGCTCATAGTTAGATTCCACGGATATCCCAGCCATGGTTGGCCAAACAAGACATTACAAATACATAGTAGGAGAGCAGATGGACCAGAGCAGAGGATTGGCCGGGCTACGCGGTCTACGCAATGTACATGGGATCGCTCGATCGCCGATGCGGCAGCATTCGTGCAAGGCGCATAGAAATTCAATTTGGAATGCAAGCTAGTAGAACGGACCTTACCAGAAGTCGATATGGTAAGCGGTAAGGGCCGGCACTACCATTGACTTGTTTACTGTGTATGGCACTTACTGTGGAGGCACCAATCTACAGAGAGGAGTAAAGGGGCTAGAGGGATTATAAAGCGCCATGTGACTCGGGGAATTAAGTGCATATGTAGGGAGGTACACAAGAGTAGTCGCCGAGTGCATCATAACAGCTTAGGAAGGAACCAAGTTCTAGGTATTCCTGTCCAACAGGCGGCCGGTGTTGAAGCTCTGTCGTATACCGGAGCGCATTTATAGGCTCATATCAGACAAGATGAAACACGGTGTTGTGCAAGGCAGAATGCGTTGGTTGAACGAGGAATGAAAGACGAGGGGGACAAGACTGTGAGCGTCAAAGAGAAAGCACACCCGGCTTGAACAAGTGGAGTGCAAGCGTCGTCTTGGGCACCCTGGGTCTGGTGTTGGGATCTTGCTGTGCATGTTGTTGCAGGGCTATGAGAGAGAGAATATGTGTGTGCGTGTGTGGGTGAGAGAGAAAGAGAGCGGGTGAGAGAGAAAGAGAGCGGGTGAGAGAGAGGCGGTTTGCGTGTTTGCGTCTGTGCGCTAGCCAAGTCGCAGACTCTTGCGCGGGAAGAAAGAGCGGCTGTCAAGTCGAAGCACGCCATGCCATGGTGCATGAGTACTACGTAAAACCTGCTACAAGGCGCACGGGGGAAAAGGTCGAATGCGCCATCGGTCGTTAGCACGGGCAGCCAGTGTCTTGTAATGCTGTCCGGAGCTGGGACACAGCCTGCAGTGGCACATGGCCTGGCAGTGACATGGCAGCCTCCGTCGTTTCTGCCAGTCAGTCTGCGCTGGGCTGTGGCTACGGCGTGGGTGAAGAAAGCTGGGGGGTATTGTGGGCATAGGACAGGCAGGCTATGCTATGCTGAAAAGAATCGAGGCGAGGCCCGATTGTGTCCGATGCCGTTCAGTCTACTTACCCGCAGCCGCTCGTTGACATTCGGCGCGACACAGAGGCAGTACTTGGTGCCCTTGCCCCTGCCCTTGCCCTTGCCCTTGCCCTTGCCCTTGCCCTCGCCATCACCATCGCCATCATCGCCATCATCGCCATCATCGCCATCATCGCCATCGCCATCGCCATCGCCAGTACTTGGCCTCACCCGCGCGTTCCGAAGCTGGCTGGCTGGGGGGCGGGCGCTCGGGGTCGGGGGTCGAGGGGCGGGGCAGAGGCCCCAGGAGGGTTAGCCGTCGCCGTTGGACGGGCAGAGTTTGATGTCTCCAGCAACGCGCTCGTGCGACGTTTTACTACGCCTGGGATGAGGCTCGATGCTCGAGGGCAGCGACGGGGCGGCCACGGTGCAATGAGCTGGCCGGGCGCTGCAGGGATGGGACCAATCACGGCCGAGATGAGACAAGCTGGAACGGCAGGTGCCACCAGGCCGCCGGCGTGCCCTCAAGCTTCGCCCAGCCCACTCCCACTTGGCCTCGACGCTTAACCCACAACCGCGACGCTCGTCTCTCGAACCCACCTCCTCCACAACCCCGTACATCCGATGCCGCTCGCCTGAACATCCATGGGCCTCCTCCATCCGTCACCAACTGCTGCTGGACCAGTATAGCCCCCCGATCGAGCATGTGGGAGGCCGACTCGTCGCCTGCCGCCTCTCGTCTCCTGGACAGTCGCGCGCCCGATGCCACGACGCCCTATGTAAGCCCTCTGCTGCCCGCCGCGACACGACTCCAACCACGCGACTAACCGCCCCTCGTAGCACTGTCCCTCGTACAAACTGCCCGCCCATGGCACCATTGAGATTTCGCCCGGCAACACAATCACCCTCAACGACAGCGCCCTCTTCCGTCCCCTGTGCTCCAACACGCCCGGCAACACCAGCAACATCGAAGATGGCACCGGCGGCGTCACCAGCGTCGCCGACATGCGCGACCCCTTCCACGCCTCCATCACTCCCCAGGCCTACGCTACCGGCGCTGCCACCGTTATCGCTTGGATGCTCGTAATCATGCTCATCATCACGCCGCGCACCTTCTTCGTCGGCAATGCCTCTGGACGGTCGGGCCTCATGGGACGCCGCGGCATGATTAGCGGTGCTTCCGGAGGAGGATCCATCATTGGCGTGGGCAGCCGCCCATGGCTGCAAAAGGCCGCAGCCCTGACCGTCGCCATTTCACTTACGCTCGCCACCGCCGACACCTTCAAGATTGCCGAGCGCCAGTACGAGGACGGCTTCATCGATGCCATCGAGCTACGTGACCAGGTCGTCGCTGGCATGGAAATCAAGGTTTCGCGCGTTGTGTCCGACATATTCCTATGGCTCGCCCAAGTCCAGACTCTGATACGCCTGTTTCCGCGCCACAAAGAAAAAGTCATCATCAAATGGGTCGGTTTCGCCCTCATCCTTCTCGACATCCTGTTCAGCTGCCTCAACAGCTTTGGCCCCTACGATAATTCGCGCCGTCCCGCACATTTCGACACTGCCATTCCCGCCCTGAGTTACCTGTTTCAACTGTCGCTAAGCATGCTCTATGCCGCCTGGGTCATGTACTACGCCATTACTAAGAGACGATATGCCTTTTACCACTCGATGATGTGGAACATGAGCGTCATCTCACTTGTATCGATTATTGCTATTCTAACACCAGTCGTTTTCTTCATTACCGACATCGCAAACTACAGCATTGCCGGATGGGGAGACTACTTTCGCTGGGTGGGAGCTGCTGCTGCTAGTGTTATTGTTTGGGAGTGGGTTGAAAGAATTGAAGCCTTGGAAAGGGAAGAGAAAAAAGATGGAATTTTGGGAAGAGAAATTTACGATGGAGACGACATGCTGGACAACAGTCCATCCGATCACAGCTGGCCTTCGAAGCGCAAACATCAACCATCAGAAAAACCCAACCAACAAAACGGCCACCGAGGACACGACAAAGGTGCAAGTGGAGGTTTTGGTGTTTTTACATCAGGTCATGCCGCTCGTTTCAACAACTTTGCACAGAAATTTGGACGAAAGATGACGGAATCACCACGAGCAGAAGCACGCAAGAGACGCACTATTCACATTCCTGCCCCACCTCCGGTTGCGCGACGGTCAGCATCTACAACACGCGCAGAACGTAACTCGCGCTCCTACGTCCGTGTGCATACCCCACCTCCAGTACCTGTAATTTCTTCGCCCGTCAGCAGGACAGACACAACCAGCGCCGACTCAACAGTTTATACAGTACGCTATCATCCGATCAGTGACACACCACCATTACCCCACCCTGCACCCGCAGACCGTCGGATAGCAGACTACGAGGGGCAACAACAACAACAACCGCAACCACAACCGCAACCGCAACTGCAATCACAAGAACAAAAACCACTACCAAATCAACCAGCCGACCCAGAAGATCCCGAAAAGGGTGCCGAAATTGAAGAGGCCAGTATCAATGCCAATACCAATGCCAACAGAGGCAAGTGGCAGTGGCAAGCACTCGGTAATGCCTTCCGCAGGAAGGGAAAGACGCCACCTCGGGAGCTGCAAAGAGGCCAGGTGATTGAACCACTTGGAGTCGACGATGTGGCTGCAAACATACCACCACGCACCTACAACGGATTGGCTCTGGGAGATCGACTTGGCACGTTTGCCGCACAGCAAAGCGAGAAGCTAAGGTCCAAGAAGAAGAACGGGTCGCAACAGGACATGCAGCTACCAGTGACGATTATTCCTGCACAACCTCGTGGACAGACTTGGTCTCCAGACATTATCCGTCAGCAACAAGAAGAAGCTCAGCAAGAGGAAGCGTTTGCCAGTGCAGGTACCCAGCTTGGACGACCAACGACGACAACCGACGTAGAAGCAACCAATTCGAGTGAAATTGCGCATCTCTCCACATCATCGCCACATTCTCAACGCAATCC